TGAAATCTCATGCTCCCTAAACCACTCTTTCACAATTTGAGCCTGGTGAATCCTGGCATTGTCATCTTAGACTTAGAATATGCCCAGGGAAGAAAAAAAAACCATTGATGGATAAACCTTGTCATTCGGTATATTCAGGTAGGCAGCTGACATTATATTTTGGGGATATAACATTGCTGAACCTAGTAATTATCAAATGGAAGGCTCTTACCTATGTGCTTAACTAAATCCAGGTGGCGACTTTTTTTTGGCCAGGCAATGTAATTTACAGTTGGAAATACAGACAGTTGGCAAACTTTTTTTTCCTGCAGCAAAGTGCACTAAATATATTTAACTTAGGGGTGACTATTGGTAAGCATGCTTTTGGTCTCCCGCTATAAAAGATACATCAAGGATGAATTTTTTGAGCCTCTTAAAGACAAAGGTTAGCAAAGTTGCCTTTATTAGTAAAAATGAATGTCGAAATTTTGGACATAGCTGCGCTTCACTATGAAACCCCACGACTTTCCATTATACACATTGGGGAAGTTATATTTCATATTTATGAGCCCACAAAATGGAAGTAGACAAAGTATTTAAAATCTGAAGAACTTGCAATAATGTTTTTTTTGTGAATAGGATGGATGCCAAAACTTTTACAACAGATGACCCCCTGGACTTTTGGATTTCAAGCATTGACCACTGGTCAGAGCTTGCCCAGTATGCAATCAAACTACTGACCTGTCCTGCTTGCAGGGCATTCTGGTGCTCTGACACTGTCAAGGTGCCACATCTGAAGCTTCTGCAGCTGCTCCTCAGTTTTAAAATGTTAAATGTTTGCTGCAGGCTAAATTGTGCTTTTTGTCTCCTATTTTTGACCTATTCCAGTGATCCATCAAATAAAAATATTTGTCACCATTGTCACTCTGAAATAATGTATTCTAACTGTATTTTCTTGTGCTAAACCTGTCTGCTCTCTTCCCATTTAAATGTGGGCTAGTAAAAGTGCTTACATTCTATGCATGGAGTCAGTAAAATATTTTGCTGATTTGTTTGTCAAATAACAGACTTTATTGTTTTTATGGTTTTTAAAAAAATAAAAGCTGTCTGGTGTCTCTCCTGTTTAAATTGTGGCCAAGTATTTTTTTTTAAAATGTACTGTGTATGGAGTCAGTACAATATTTCGCTGTTCTTTTTCTTTGAAATAAATGTACTCTAAAGTTTATTTATCGTTTTAATTATAAGCTGACTGTTGTTCCTATTGCTCAAATTTCAGTCTACCAAAAATGCTTAAATACTGCCTATGGAGTTAATGAACGTTTTTGTGAATGAAAGTACATGTAGTTTTGCAGGTCTTTTATTTTTCAAAATGTGATTGTGGAAATAATGTCCATTCAGTCTTTACAATATTTTTTTGTTTCAGTCAACAGTCAAAAAGAATTTTTTTTTGTTTTTGTTCTCAAAAGCTGCACAAGTAAATTGTTTTACTAAATGAGGCTTCACAGAAATGTATTACAATTAGGCCTTTGCAGTGTGAACCATATGAAAAATATGAAAATTATATATGCTGTGTGTAGCATATTATGTCTATTGTTGTCAGAAAAATATAAATTTAAAATGTTTTGGTCCTCCAAATCTATTTGGGGATCTCGTTTATATAAAGATGCTGAAAAGAAATTGCAGATATACTATGTATACTGTCTGTAGCATATTAATTCTATTTAAGGGCTTGTTCACACCATAAACAGTGTGTTCCAGAGCGGTCAGCTGCTGGAACGCACTGTATCGCATGCCGGCCGGCTTCCTGCATTCAGGGATGGGAGGGGGTGTGGCAGTGCATTGAAGTCAATGGCACCACAGGCATGCCCACCGCCCGCAGTTTGATCACCCACACCAGAATGCGTGGCACATCAGTGCCTGCGTTCCGGTCCGGTGCGATCTACAAAAATCCTGTAAGCACAATTTTTTCAGATTGCACTGGACCGGAACTGATGTACCATGCATTCTGGTGTGGGTGATCACACTGCTAGCGGGCCATTGACTTCAATGCACCGCCGCGCCCCCTCCCGCCCCTTAACACGGGAAGCCGACCGAGATGCGATACAGTGCGTTCCAGCAGCTGACTGCTCTGGAACACACTGTCTATGGTGTGAACAAGCTCTTAGTCAAAAAAATATAAACTTTAATTTGTTTTTTTGACCTGCAAAGCTAAATGAGCATTGAAATAGAAGAAATGCTTTGCATGCTGTTCGTAGCATATTAGTTCTGTTTTAATCAAAAAATATAAACTTTAATATTTTTTTGCATTCCAAAGTTGAATGGGGATATGGTTTAACTAATGAGTGCTATCAGAAAGAAAGTCTATGCAGTGTGCACAATATTCCTGCATGCATTGTGTCATTTTTAAAATGTGGTCTACTCCAATTGCTTAAATTCTGTCTATATCGTGTCTGACATAATACCCTGTAATTTTTATTTAATGATAAAACCTTCCTTGTCTTTTCTACTTACATTGCAGCCAAGTAAAACTGCTTACGTTCAGCTAGTCTGTATACTATTTCTGGCTGATGTCTCTGAAATAATATACTCAAATTTTTCGGCTCACTTCACTTCGGGCCGGTTATTCACTCGCTGCCTACTTTGTGAATAACCCCCTAAATGATGCTGGTACTATTTCTATGCTTGAGGCACTCAAACACAGCTTCCGTGCTGGTGCTACCCCAACACTGCTGCTCCACACTGGCCCTATCCAAAAAATAAAAATAAAACGCAGAAAACACCCCACAAAAGCCCGTAGTGGGGAAACATCCTTTTATGCGCACTGGAGCAGGCTGAGTTTTAAAAAGATTGTTTGCTCGTATTTATTTTCTACCCTTCTGCTGCTGTGCTATGAGACACTGCCTGGGAAGCATGGGGCTACATCACAACTTAAATTATGGCCATTGTGGGGCACAGCCAACACTGGGGTCATAAATCTGCAACCATAACAAGCAAATGCACTATATGTAGAATATATATAAAAAAACTCATGATTTTCTTATTTTATTTAAATGACATGAAAAGAAATCGACATATGAAAACTGAATAAAATCACATAGGTGAGTGAACATTCCATCATACTCTAATCCAGTTTAATTTTGAAGAGCCCTGTCACTTTCCACTATCTACTTTGTCCATTATATAAAATGTAAATGACACAAATAACACTATGATTTATCATGACTATCAGATTTATTTTAAAGAAGAATGGTCACACCTTTTTATATAAAAACAGCTTACATCCTTACTCAGTGAAGAGGTCTTATTCTCAAGTCCTAGACCATAAGTGTAATCACATAAGGCAACCATTCAGAATCCATCCTTTGCATAGAACTATGAATAGGTTGCTGTTTTATTGCTCTCAACAATAAGAAGAGTCCTCAATTTTTCTGCAGGCTCAGCACTCAGTGAATGGGAAGCACTCGGTATAGAGGCTTCCCATCCATTCACAAACTGCTGATAGTAAGATATTTACTATCAAGCAGATTCGCAATTTTTACTAATATGATTCTTAAAGGATCTTATAGGGTCAACAACATACCCCTAACAATCAGAAGCGCAAGGACTCATCTAAATCTTCAATCCCTCAGAATTTCTCTGCTGCTTTTTGTCTGATGCACAGTTAAGGACAAAAGCTTGAAACCAATGTTTTCAGATATTAAACAATATGCATTAAAAAATTGGGTTTTTACTGATGCCATTTACCACAGTATAACGTACACAATGTATGTAAAATCCAATTTTTATTCAAACGTGATAAAAGTCAGTAAAATCATATAATAAATTGCTGGAACAGAATAACAGAGATATAAACTCAACAGTTGGCTGCTTCTCTTTTCACTGTCCAGTCCCAGGCAGGTGGGAGAACAAGACTTGTAAGTGTTACTAAATTGCAGCAAAGAAAAATTAGTTCTCCTGCCAATCAAAACAGTGCTGTGCTTTGTGGCAGAGGTGTGTGAACCTCAGGACTGATCGGAAAGAAATACAAATCCTTTGGCAGGTAAAGCAGCTCCCTTATAGGTATTTTATCTGTGTATTTAGCTGTTTGCCTGATGTTCTGCTTTAGATGTTAAGGTTTGTATGTAACAAAGTTGCAAACTAGAGGTAAAATCTACGGTCACAGACTAGAGAGGTAAAATTGGGGACTGGGAGTTGTACAATCAAATTCCACTGTGCTGAAATTAAATAACTGTTTGTGCTGCTTTTGCCAATTCTGCTTCTAGTTCTGGTTACAAAATGGAAGAGAATGTGCAGATTCAGCTACGAAAGGAAGGTGCTTTTCAGAATGATTTAATAAATAGCAATATATCACCATAAAACAACAGTTCAGATATTCCTTCCTGGCACAGGTGGCCAATTGGTAGCATGTTAATGTCCTCTCCCTCTTGTGTCTCCAAAAGGATTGGTCACCAATGGTTGGGGTTGAAAGGTTCATTTACTCTTTCTTACTTGGAAAAGCAGTAGATGATGATTGCTTGATGTAGCTTTGAGGCAGTGAAAAGAGGATGCTTTTCAGTCCTGTAGCACAGCCTACAGGACTGAAAAGCATCCTCTTTTCGCATCTGAATCTGCACATTCTCTTCCATTTTGTAACAAGAACTAGAAGCAGAATTGGCAAAAGCAGCACAAACATTTATTTCATTTCAGCACAGTGGAATTTGCTACACCCTCTCTTAAACACACCTTAAACCACATGGTCCAACCTCTAGTGCTTTTGTGGTGTGCACCTAGAGACCTTTGGTCAGGAACTCCATCCCCAGTAAGTACAAAAACAGCTCAACAATAAGCTATATACCAGAATACATTGCTCATGCTTGGGAAACCTGTCAATCCCCAAAACCTCCTTAGATTTACCAGAATTAAAGTTAAAAAAAGAATACGCAGATAAATGTAGATATACTTCATACAACATATGTATTACTAAACTATATACATTTTACTGAGATATTCTTCAAAAAAGTTTATGAAGATCATTATCTTACCTGTGAATGATGTGATGTTTTTGTAAATAATCCAGAGCCAGTGAAAGTTCACAGATATAAAGTTTAACGGCCTCTTCACTAAAATGCACATTCTGCTGCAAGTGATAGCGTAGATCTCCCCCCAACAGCAGGTCTACCACCATAAACATGTCTTCTTCATCCTGGAAGGAGTACCTGAAAGATAAGATTAGAGAGATAAGATTTTGAGTGATTTGAAGCATTGTTTCTAAAATGTGAAGAGGACTACGGCAATCAGAACTACACTATTTAAAATTGTCCTGGTAATGTCCACGTGCATCTCACACTGAAAGAAAGGAGGTTTGTTACCTGAATTCAATAAAGAATTTATGAATGTCATTTGAGTAAGGCCTTTTAAAACACAGATGACAATTGAACAATCGGGCAAGGGCAATGTAAGTTTTATAACAGCTAAAACTCTGACCACCTAAAAATACTAAATAATATTAATATTTCTATAACACTCTTCTCACTGGATACTTGGCTTCTCAGTTAAGATACCATTGTTTCTATACTTACTAAGTTCCCCATATGTTATTTTGCACTAGATGATAGATGGCACAGAATTTATTTTCCTGCACCATTTCCATGGAAAACTCAGGTTGGTGACAGTAGAAACTCAACTGAAAAGCATAGCATACCCATACCAAGGATATATTTCCCAGATGGAGTCCAGGACTGCAGTAGAGTCTCAGTAGTTGACTGAACCTTGCCATACTCTATTGCATACTGAGTAATCTATTTTGGATGGAGGCTCCTCTTTAGTATACTGTATATTATTCTATAATTATTTTACATGCTTTTAGTTTTACTCTAGATACATAATTCAACATTAAATCATCACTTTTGTATTGCAGTGATCCCAAGGGGTGGTTCCTGAGACACAATTATTTAGACTAGGGGTGTTTCTAGGTTCCTAGAAGACCTGGGACACCCCTGGGCACCAAGACTAAAATGCTAACGGGTTTGTAGTATACCATGCTAAAAAGTGGGTGAAGTTATTTCTCATTTCATTTGACTTAACTGAACTGAACATGAAAATCTATGTATACAATTGTTTAAAGAAAGAATAAATAGGTATAAAAAGGTTGATAAATGAAATGATGTTCCAAAAGAATGATGTATGTATAGTCTCATATAGTCAATAGTCTTGTTTTATTAAGTGAAAAAGAAATATGCATTGCGAGGTTCAGGTATATACAGATACTAAGTACTTAATCAAAGATACCAGGTTCTATAATTATCAACCTAACATTATTCTAAAGAATCATAAGTGTGAAATGCAGTTACTAGTGGCGGTACAAATGGATGACCAAAATGAAAGGATCATACTTGGGATGATGGCAAAGGACACCTGGGGCACTCAATAAAAGACCTGGGGAACATGCCCTGGGTGCCTGAATTTAGCAATGCCCCTAATTTAGACAGTAATAACATACCATGGGCAATAGTTGATCAGTTGGTTAACAGTAAGGCTGTTGCTATGAGTAATAAAATACTTAAAAAGAGACTTTAGGCAATCTGTTATCAGTGAATAAGTCAATTGGCTCACTAGATTCTTCAACCTAATGTGTTTCTTTTGTGTATGGGATTGAAGTAATCATGTCCATTTGCTTCCTTTCCATCAGAAAGATATTTTTTGCATTGCTCTCTATTCTTTATGGGATGAGTTAAAGGAGAACTATGGGGTCAGTGTTTTTCCCCATAGTTCTCCTTAGGGTAACGGGAGGACACAAACTAGCGTCCTCCCGTTACCCTAAGCTCAGTATACCGCGAGCTACAGCTCGCGGTATACTGAGACGCTGCAGCCGAAATGGATCCCGACGTAGATGACGGGATCCGCCCAGCTGCGTGAGTGACAGCTGGCTCTGCCTATCTAGAGGCAGAGCCAGCTGTACCCGCCCCGTCCGTTCCGCCAGTCAGCGCTGGCAGATCGGAACGGGGATAGGGGAATCCAGCCCCTCCCCCTGTCACGGCAGAGAGCCGTGACAGGATCGAGAGGTGAGCGAACCTGGTATGTGTTCGCTCACCTCCCGATCTACTGAGCCGACCTGTGACAGTCTCATTGTCACAGGTCGGCTAGAACTATGAGGTGAGTGGAAATCACTCATCTCATAGTTCTCCTTTAATATGATCTAATTATGGGCCGCCTTTTCTCTTATGGAACTAGGCTTTCGCTTCTTTGTTATACTTGCTTTATGTATAAACTTAGAGGTAAACCATAAAGGTTTTGGGTCAGTTTTATCGTTATTGATTTTTTAAACTCATGTTTAAAACTTTTTTTTGCTATATGAATGCAATCTTTGTTTTGAAAAATAAACTTTTATTTAATAAACAAAACAATCTTAGAGCACTATGTGTTAGCATACAGGATAACACAGAAGTATGCATCTGTTTTAGGCATTCTGGCTTTTACTGAAACTTCATATGAGGTCATCCAATAAAGAATGAGTTGCCCAGACCAGTTACTGCTCTGACTTATTTGGGGCCTAAATGGCTTTTATTGGGCAAATGCAGTATGAAATGCTTCACATATCATTCAGGATCCAATAGAGGTACAGTTGACCTTCTTTAATTGCTTTTGCATTCCCAAAGACTTGTATGGGGAGATCAGCAGTTAGGAAGTGAAGAAAGGTCTGTCGACAATGTCCCTTGTGTATGAAATTTAGGTTGAGCTATTGGGGGTGATTTACTAACCTAAACACACACACACACCAGGTGTGTGTGATTTTCACACAGCAAAACGTATTTATCAACCAAAAAGTCTCTAAAAGCATATTTCCACTAATGCCATATATGGAAAAATCATGCACATGATGCATATATAATGCTGCTTCACAGTTTAGACAAAAATGGTTAGCTCATGCATTTACATTCCTTGCATTCATCAACGCAAGCAACACAACATAGAGCTAATTTACCCAACATCACCTTGGAATTCCTTCAGGGCTTTGCACAACACACCTGCTGGGTGTGTACACATTACAAAGGTGTTTAGATTCCACCCATAGATCATGCTGGGAGGGAACACACTGCAGAGGTGTATACACGTTCGTGGTGTGTTTATAAGGTTAGTAAATCAACCCCATTGAGTTCTGTAACAAAAGTTTTCTCTTTCAGCAGGAAATAAGAAAATATAAAAGCATAGGAAAAGGAGCCTAAAGCTCCATCTGGTGGTTCAAAAAGAGAATAAAAAATAACATACAATATTTTACATTTACCTTGCATTTTTTGGTGTATAAACAAATTAATAAAACGTGCAAAACCACTAACATTAATTTAAAAGAAACATGTGTCAAAAGAGAACTGCTTGACAGTTATGCAGATACTCTAACTAAAGCACTTACTGAGTTACTGCACTGTAACAGAGGAGGCTTGGGGAGAGATATACAGGGACGTTGCCTGCCAGCGCTGTGGACTGATCCAGACAACTTTAAAGGTGAGCGTTTTGCTAACTATCAGGTTCCTTCGGTGATTTTTATGCTTGGATGAGGCACCTTGAGTATGAGTAAGATGAGGAGTATGCATAATGGACGCCCCCTCTTTCTATGTAGTCATTACATCCATATGGTCATGAGTAATGTAATATGGAATATATTGCATACTGTGACCTATATAGCTATATGCAATCCTCACTAAGCAGGAATATGTATCTGACTTTTTACAGGTCTGAGTTCTGGACCTTGGAAACTAATTAGCTGCTGTTGCTGTATGTGTTTTTTTGGTCTTTTTTATTGTCATTACGTCCTTCCTTCATGTCTATGGCCACATGAACAGGTAAGCTTAAAGAGTTCTATATTATGTAAAAAAATATGTTCTTTGGGGTACATTTATGATCTTATATGATATGTCGATGTATTGTTTGATTGTTATGCATTTATCTACATAGTGCATCCTTCCCTCTTGAGGAAGCCCCTACTTTGGGCGCGAAACGCATTGAGGAAGAGCGACTCCCTGAGATACTTGTGGCGTTGTTACCTACTTCTTTGTATGAATAGTTTTAACACTCTTGGAGAATCAGGTAATATCACCAGTCTCAAAGTTGTTTAAAGGGTAGTCAGTTCTGGATGCCAGCTAGTTTAAGGAAGGATATTCTTTTATGCCATTTATGTATATGTTTTTATCATGTATCAATGAAGGAACTTGCTTTTATGCACCTAGGTAGTAATCATTAGTGGGTTTTTTTCATACCTTTTAAAGCCCCCTCCTTTTCTTTTTGTTCATTTTTACCATATGGGGTGTGGTATCTATATAGCCTTTCGAGTAATTCCAGTGCGTTATATTAACATGCATGGAGTCAATGATGTCACAGTTAAGTCAGAACTCCTTATTTACATATTTTTTAGCTCAGTTACTTGGAAGGAATTGAAGCAGTACAATCAGTATGACAACCAGACAATTGATTTTCCAGAATGAGAAGTACAGTACTGTTTTCTTTTTTTAAAGAAAGCTCCCAATAAATGATTAAAGGCTGAATGTGCGGTTATCATTGGCATCATTTGAATTAAGAAAAAAAAAGAGTTCAAACTGGTTTAAATTTTCAATAAACTAAACTCCAAAATTCAGTCCACAGTAATCTTTAAGTATATGACACACTAAGATTAGCTTTCAACCCTTCTCTCTGTAATTGTATTTCTCTAAGCTTCTTACATGCTTTATGTCAAATGACATACATAAATGTAGACTTCTTAAGTAAAATTAAAGATGATTATGCGCTATTAATAGGTGACTTTTTTCTAATTTACAATGCAGAGGTATGGATCCAATTACATACAACATAGCTGAAAAGAGTATAGCGTAATGGGACAGGCAGCACAGCCCATGTGGTACTGGGAATGAATAGAGAAAATATATCCATTAATGAAGAACATGAGTTAAAGGGAATGGCTCTGGGGCTAAAAATATCAGTGAAGCTGAGGAATGAACATGCAAGGCCCACTTGTCTGTGAGCCCTCCATTGCCTTACTAAAAACTCTAAGTAAAAGCTGTATAAGAGTAAAATGTAAAAAATACTTACACCTCATCTTCTGGTGAGTTTGCCAAAGCAAGGGTGATGTCACTAGGCTTCACCGTGGGATTCAGGGAAAGCGGAGGATTACAAATCCCATTAGAGAACACCTGTGCACAGTGCCAGAGCAACGTCTTTCTCAGCTTTC